GGGGACGAATATTTTCTTGTATCTATATATTATCACTATAATATTTATACATTTCATGTCGTTTTTTAACAATTTACCCAAGATTCATAGGAGTGAAGCGGTAACATCATTAATATGATTTCTATTAGTTTGTAATATTTGGACTAATTGAAACGTAATTTTATTCGATTATTTTTATTAAAATTAACATAAAAATCTTAATATAAATCAAAGAAATATTTTGTTATGATTCATCTTCCTTTGTACTGTTACAAGACCGCCAGATTCTGTTCGATGTGATAATGTGGGCCACTTACAACATTTGTGTCCCAAGGCAGGTGTAAACATAGTAAAAAAGGTTATACAAGTGTTTGTTCATATATTTCAATAAAACTCGCGTTGTGAACTTATGCGTGTATATTACAATTAGGAAAAAATTATACATGAATTTCGTGGGGTTGCGTGTGCGCGCAATGGCGGAGCTCGGTGAAGTGACGCGGCGTCGCTAGTGGCGTGGGGATCGCGGCTCGCCCGCGCGCCGTCATGGCCGACGGTTGCGCGTAAAGCCGAAAACACACTTGCGTGAACATCCTCCCGCGCCTTGAAACCTCCTGTTTCAATCTTCAAGAGTCGTCGTCGAATAAAGGGCAGATACGACTCACTGCTCTGCGAACGATTCCCTTGTTAATTCTGACGTCTGCTACTCGACAGGCTCCATCGGAACCTGGGTAAACAGACTCGATCCTTCCCAGAGGCCAATTCAAAGGTGGGGTAGCCTCTTGCTTGATAAGTACTAGTTGACCAGGCGCCAGGTTAGGGTGGCGCTTCTGCCACTTGGTGCGCTGCTGTAGCTCGCAGACGTACTCGTGGCTCCATCGACGCCAGAAGTGTTGCCTGGCCTGCTCGATCCTCGCGTACCGATGCAGGCTGCTGGGGTTGGCTTCCAGCAGATCAGGCGCTGGCAGCGCTGTCATCGTCCTCCCAATAAGGAAGTGCCCTGGGGTGAGAGGGGACAGATCGTGAGGGATGGTAGAAAGAGGAGAAAGGGGCCGTGAGTTTAGGATAGCTTCGATTTGAGTGAGCAAAGTGGTGAGCTCTTCAAAAGTAAAATGGGATTCACCCAAGGCCCTTTTCAAGTGGTACTTAGCAGACTTTACAGCTGCCTCATGCAGACCCCCAAAGTTTGGAGAGTAAGCAGGTAGAAATTTAAATTTAATGCCTTCTTCTGCAAAAGGCTCTGACACAGAGTTACCGTTAGATCTTAGAAATGCACCTAACTCGCGACTGGCACCGACAAAATTTGTACCATTATCGCACCATATTTCTAGAGGTTTGCCCCTTCTACTTATAAAACGACGTAAAGCTAGAATAAACGCCTCTGTACTGAGACCACTTACTATTTCTAAGTGTACAGCCTTAGTCTTAAAGCATACAAAAACACAAAAATAACATTTATTTAGTTTAGTTCCACGACCCTTCTTATCACTATATAGAAATGGACCAGCAAAATCAGTACCTGTAACTTCGAATGGATAACCTGGACTTAACCTAGGAGAGGGTAAGTTACCCATTATTTGCTTAGCAACTGCTCCTCTCATACGAGTACAGAGAATGCATTTTCTAAAAACCTTTCTAGCTAATGCTCTCCCTCTAATAGGCCAGTACTTTTCACGAATAAGTGAGAGAAGAAGTTGTGGACCAGCATGTGTAAAATATGATAATAATTAAACAATAAAATTGCAAAGTGATGATTAGAAACAATGAGAGCGGGGTGCTTCTTATTATATTCAAATTGTGAGTTTTCCAATCTACCTCCAACTCTCATTAATCCATCCTTATCAATAAATGGACTCAAACTAAGTAGTGGAGCTACTTTACATTGCTTATCAAAATTTGGTAAACTTTCTTGTTGTGCAATATACACTAACTTATTCTCTGCACATTCTAATTCTTCTACACTTAACATTAGCTTATTCTTATTACTAGGATTCTTAATATTATTATAGAAACGAAATACATATGCAACAATGCGTCTTAATTTCGTAAAACTGGAATATCTTTTAATATCAATTACAAAGTTAGAAGATTGTGTCTCATTGACACCTGCAACATTTACACGTACTTCAGGCAGTGTTGCATAAGTTACGTTGCTACCTACTTGACTTGGCTAACATTCTTCCCCATCGTGAATGAATGTAGGTCCCTGCCACCATAGTGACAACATCTTTACTTCATGTGGGAAAACACCACGAGAGGCTATGTCAGCTGGGTTCTGTGATGTAGGGACATACAGCCATTTGCTGTCATTACATAGCTCATTGATAGATACAACACGGTTAGCAACAAAAGTTTGCAGTTTATGAGAAGGCGTGCACAACCAACCCAGTACTATTTTAGAATCTGACCAATATGTTTTCTTAGAAATATGACAACGTAGTGATTTACAAACTTTCTCGCATAAGCGAGCAACTAAAAGAGCACCACAAAGTTCCAACCTGGGTATGGTTGTAGTCTTCAGTGGCGCCACCTTAGCTCTAGCGGACAGTAGCCGTACTGTACAATTGCCTAGAGCATCAGTTGACCTCACATACACACATCCAGCATAAGCTTTCATGCTGGCATCCGAAAATGAATGTAACTCAATGGTTACAGGATTTGCACAACAAACATTTCTAGGTATATCTATAGTTTGTAAGTGAGATACATTATCAATAAAATTTCTCCACATTTTATTGATGTTAGGTGGGCTTTCGTCATCCCAAGATAGTTTTTGAGACCATAACATTTGTAAGATTATTTTACATACAATAGTACAACAACTTAGCAAACCTAAAGGATCAAATAAACTAGAAGTAAGAGACAGAATGGAACGCTTAGTAAATGGAGTATCATTGTTACAATCATATAGCTTAGAGGAGACCATCAAAATTTTGTCAGTGTTAGGATTCCATTCTATGCCTAGCGCATGACCTGGTGATGACATAATCTTTAAGTTTTCTTGCTCAGAGTTACTTGTGGTTGAAATAGAATTTATAAATTTACTAGAATTACTTTTAATTTTACGCAAATTGAAACAAGCTGATTCTAATTTTACAATGATCTTTTGATATATTTCTGCCAGAGTGGACTCATCATTACATCCAGTAATGAGGTCATCAACATAGAAGTCATGTGCCATCACTTCCTTGACCAACAAGTCATCACACTCTTGGCTTAGCTGGATTAAACAACGTGTACTTAGAAAGGGTGCCGATGAAGTTCCATAGGTTACAGTATTGAGCTGTAAGTATTTCATGGGCTCCTCTTCGTTTTCACGCCACAAAATAACCTGCAAGTATCTCTGAGATTCATCTACTAGAATTTGACGGTACATTTTCTCAATGTCACCAGTAAATACATAGGTATGCTGTCGAAATCTAATCAATATTGAGAAAATGTCATCTTGAACTGTAGGCCCTACCATGAGCAAGTCATTCAATGAGAGACCTGATTCGGTTTTCGAAGAAGCATTGAACACTACTCGACATTTTGTCGTTTCGCTTTGTGCTCTTAGAACTGGATGATGTGGTAATAGATTTACCGGGTCAGGTCGCTCCACTACAGATAAATGACCTAGGCTAGCATACTCATTGATAAAGCTTACATACTGTTCCTTTATGTCAGGTTGCCTTTTGAATCGCTTTTCTAGTGAATGAAAACAATGCTTGGCACGAGCATAGGAATCACCTAATAGTTCTGGTTTATCGCGCAAAGGCAAAGTGACACAAAATCTGCCGTCCTCCATGCGGCGTGTGTGCTGCACGAAGTGGTCCTCGCACGCACGTTCCTCTGCTGTCAGCTTTGATGTCTCTGGCAGCTCCTCCAGCTCCCAGAACTGCTTCAGTTGTTGTTGTATGGCTCGACTGAAATTGCAGTGAATTTCCTTACTTGGTACATAGTTAGGACACATGATAGGTCCCACTACTAACCAGCCAAATTGGGAATTTTGTAGTACAGGTTGATTAGAATTTCCCAACTTGATTTGATTAGTAGGACAAATCACATCCCAAAAACATCAGCTCCCAACAACAGATCAATTTGCGAAGGGTTATAGAATGTAGGATCTGCGAGTGTGACATTCTTTGGCATGTTTAGTGTTGATACATCAACTTTAGAATGAGATTGTTTATGCAAAGCTTGGCACAGATGTCGCTGTGTACTTCAGACCCATAATAAAAAAGGCGCTAAGAACTTGTTTGAATTCTACCTTGTTTTACTCATCTTTTTAAATTTATTTTATAGTTTAGTAGTAAACAAATACTAGTAAAGGATTTTTGAAGTTTCATATGCGACAAGATGATAATATCGTCGGCTTAGTGCAAGAACTCATTAACTGCAAAAAATCACTAAATACGTTTTTATCTATAACGGCCTTCTTTTGACATATTCTACAAAAGGCAAAAACTCACTAATTTCTATCTAGTCAATTTTAGGCGTTATGGCTTTGCCATTAAATAAATAACTGCACCTTTAGAAATCAGGCACTTACAAAAAATCACTAACTTGCACAAATTATTTTTATTAAATGGATAATTATTAAAATAACGACTTACATATACAACAGAACTCATTTTTACCATGTAATTATTTTTATCGAAACAAGTGTAGCATAAATAGCTTACAATTAGGTTCGATAAAGATCATTATTTGCATTTAATTACTTTATGTTATGAATAATTGATCATAAGTGCACAATAAGTGATTTTAATAAATTTTATCAAATTAATTTTATAGAAATCATAAAATTTAAGATTTCCTTAAAATCGTTTATTGTTTTTAGTTACTTTTTTATTTTGTCGATCGCATAATTTAATTTAAATAACATTGGTTAATAGAAAATAGTAACTGCTTGCAAGCTACGTGGATCCTCGATTGTAGTTTGGTGAGTTATTCATGGCTAAGTAAAATACGACCACACAGCTTGTCTAAGGAGTGCGCGGGAAAAAGGACGAACGCGGGTGTGACCGCTCACACCCGCGTTCGTCCTTTGCGCGCGCGCGTCTCTTTCGCCCCGCTCAAACCCGCGTTTGCGCGGGGCGAAAGAGAACTTTGCGTGAGCGCGGCTGACTGGCTCGCCAGCACAGTTCGCGGCAAGACACGTTGACACACCACGCGTGTTTCAAGAAGTTAGTGATTTTTGGCAAAATGCAGCGATATAAACATTATAAACCAGGACGAGGAAGTAAGATGTTGGAGCAGTTGAATAAGGAGAATGATAATATTAATATTGTAGACAAAATTTCTGCGGAAAATGTAAGTACCTACTTATCTTTACACTTAGTTTGGATTTACCGTTATTTATCAATATACCTATACATTTTACGAGATCCTCGTTTTGCAGAACAGATTGAAGGTACAAAAAGAATGTAGTTGAAAATAACTAACCACTATTTACCTATAACTAGGATTTTTTTACTTGCAGCCTACTATATACCTAACTTACCTTCACGCCTGTTCAGCTCCTTATTTAGCCATTTTCTATCTAATTGTGTACATGCATGATTTATTACTTAGATTTTAACGTACCAACCCATAACAAAGCTAACGAAACGAACTAAAACATGTAAACGACCGAGGTAATAATACCTACTGGCCATCGAATGTAGATTAGAAAATGACAATGTTTATCTTATATTTTTGGTGGTGGTTTTGTTATATCTAGGTATTTTTGTTGATAGAATTTACTACCCCCAGCAAAAGCACGTCGTGATGCAGAAGACCGCGAAGCACAATCACGGAAGGTTTCAAGTGATGACTCATCGTTGAATGTAAGATTTTTATTTTATGTGCTGGTTCATAAATGCATATAATTATTTAATTATATCGCTTCTTCGGAGATCGATGTAACGTGAGTGCATGCAATTTGTACCTTTTACATAATACAGCCATAGCTATTGCCCGTCTTTCAGGGAACGTTGGCTGAGATTAGGAATCTCACTTCATCCTTTTCACTGCAATTTTTATTATTAAAAAAGTGGGACACCACTACTGGGCAAAGGTCTCCTTCCCCCCTTTCAACGTTCCCGGTTTTGATCCCATTTTTTTGTTTCGCTTATATTTTATAAAATGTAAATTATGTTCTTGCATGTGTCGTTTTGTTTTAGGATATAAGTGACATTATCGAAAATACGCCATCTCCACGGCCAATCGCTCGCAACACAGATCGCCCAATAAGTAAAACGGTACTGTCGTCTGGCGAAAGCGACACCGAAGTCGTAGAAAATAATAACATCTTCAAAGTGCTGTCCGATGTAAGTACCTTCATATATTACCGTTTATACCGGCATTACATAAATAATTATGGCGTAAAATTGATTAATAGAACTAAGTGGAACGTCATGTACCTTTTTTCTTCCAGATAGACAATAATTTTCAAATTATCAGCCCACCACACAAAAATGACAACGATGTAGTCGTGTCCCTTGAAGATGACTTGTATTTATCAGTAAGTTCCTTCATATAAATGATTGTTTAAGTGGTAAATTTTACTATACTATGTCTGTTGATTAGTCAGTAGCTATTTACATGCCGTATCAGATAACTTATCTGGTTTTAATACTTTTAGGATGATTCTGTTGCTGATCCTGACTGGAAGGATCCTAAAGACTTAGCTGCAGAAAATACAGAGATGGATAGTGACACTGAAACAGGTCAATCTGAAGTTGTCCCGCCTAAAAAAATTAAGACGGCAAGGTGGCACAAGAGAAGAACAGATACCTATGATCGAAATGCGCAAAAAAGAAATCGCTCACAAAGTTTACCTTACAAGAACTACAAAAACCAGACGCAGCCTCCCAAAGCACCTAAATCCGGAGAATGCAAGTGTAAATTAAAATGCTTATTAAATTTTCCTGAAGAAGATCGAAAGGAAATCTGTAAGTCTTACTGGGCACTATCGGATTACTGTCGACAGAAAGATTTTATACTAATGAATGTCTTGGTGCAGGCGCCACAAAGACGTTTAGTAAATGCAACCAGAAAAAGAACTGTATCTCGTTATTATTACTTTAATAAGGACGACCGAAAGATCAGGGTTTGTGAATTGTTTTTTAAAAACACTCTTTGTATATCGAATGGTCCCATTAATAAAGCATTTTCAGAAGTAGGAACATCAGGCTCTTTTATTGGTCAGGACAGACGTGGCAAGCATGAACCAGTCAATAAAACAAAAGAAATAGATGTAGAATTCGTCAAAGAACACATCGAGGCTTTCCCTAAGATGGAGTCACATTATTGCAGGAAAACATCATCTAAAATGTATTTAGATAGCAATCTTTCCATCTCCAAAATGTATGAACTGTACCAAGAAAAATGTAAAAATGCATCAAGAACGCCTGTTTCGATCAATGTGTATCGCAACATTTTTTGTACTCAGTACAATTTAGATTTTCATAAACCCAAAAAGGATCAATGTTTAAACTGTCAAACACCAAGCGGTCACCGGTGACCGCGACCTATTGTTCTTTAATTGTGTCTGTAAAACCGGTACTCGACGAGTTAATGTGCCATAAATATGACCGAGCCAAAGCTGAAAATGCCTCCGACCTTGCTGTTTTGCAGCAAAAGTATGATGAGCACATGTCTTTAAAAGAGCAAAGTCGAAAAGCTAAAGAGTTGGATAAAGTTCGGGCAAATGAAGATAACAGCTTTAATTCTATTACGATCGACTTACAAAAAGTTTTGCACTTGCCGACTAGTAACGTTTCTCTACTCTACTATCTGCGTAAATTAAACGTTTACAATGCTACAATTTATGAAGCCCGTTCTCCCAATGATGGTTTTTGTTACTTATGGTCTGAAGTAGATGGAAAAAAAGGAAGTGATGAAGTGGGAACCGCACTATATCTTTGGATCCAACGTTTACCTCCAACAGTCACCGAAATATCTATATTTTCTGATACTTGCGGAGGTCAAAATCGTAACCAGTTTCTGTTATGCTTAATGCTATACGTAGTTCAAGTTACCCACCTCGAGGTGATTGAACATAAGTACTTAGAATCGGGTCATACGCATATGGAGGTTGATAGTATGCATAGCGCTATCGAAAATCAGATGCGTCTTATGCCAATTTTTTCTATGATAGACCTCTGTAATGTTATAAGATTAGCTAGATCGAACAGAAAACTATACAAGAATAAAACAGCAAAGAAGCCTTATGAACCTATTGTAATGAACAATACTGATATTTTGGACCTAAAAGAGCTAAGAAATAACTTAATGGTCAATAGGTCAATTGACTCTGAAGGACAAAAGTTGCAGTGGCTGAAAGTTAAATGTTTCAAGTTTGAAAAAAAGCGGCCTAACATTGTCCAATATAGGTATGATTACCTTTCCGATTATAAAGAAATGGACGTATCGAAAAAAGAAACATCGATTGTGTCTAATACTAAAAACTTACGAAAACGCAAGCATGGCGATACTGAAAGTGTATTTGACTACAATAGCTATTCTCTTAAAAAAGCATATACCAGGAAACTTCCAATTACAAAATCAAAGAAAAAAGATTTAATAAAAATGTGCAACGAAAGAATTATACCTGCAGAACTACACCATTGGTATAATAATTTACCTGACAAAGATGGTCCAGATTATCTTCCTGAAGAAGAATTCTCAGAAACAGAAAATGATGTTTAGTGTGTATCTAGTTTTAATATTTTTGTACGGTTTTTATCCCATTTCCTACTTTTTATTAAAAAATAAAATGACTGATTTTTTATTAAAAAAATATTTTAATTTTAATGTTATCATTTTGTATAACTTTTAAGACTATTTAAGGTGTCGCTAGTATTTGCAATATTGATATTTGGTATTGTAGGTACAAGTAAAGTGCTTACGACAACTGTTAAGACAGAATTGTTTTTGTTTGTTTTTAGAATTTATTTCGTTTTTGCATTTGCAATTGCATTTAAATTACGATTAGCACTGTTAATTACCTATTTAATTGAAGACTGAATTACATGGGAAGTTTTTTGTTATAAAAAATGTTATTTTGTTTTTTTGGAAAAAAATAATTTGTTTTTCATACGGCTAGCACTGTTTTGTTCAATATAATACTGGTTATTCCTTTTATAATAAAAATATTTGATTACATTTTCGTTATTTTATTACAATTTAAGAAATAATTAATTCACATACCAAACAGACTTACAGTCGCCAGAAGTCATTAACTTTTATTTTGTGTTTTTAAAAAATAAATAACATTGTAGGATCTGTGTCCCTCACTTGTTTTAATTAATATACATATTAAGCTAATCAAAAGTATTAAATTTTTCGTCACTGTAATTATATTTAGAATAATATCGGCAAATCAACTGAACCACTAACTAAATCGAACTAAAATACTGTTTATCTCAGAATAGTGAATATGTCACATAATGATTTCTTGCAATAAGCCGACGATATATTGTGATCATTAGTGACTGAAATCTTAGTTTTGAATAACGATTGAACTTTAAGTGCGACGTGATTACTGTAGTTACATAAGTATTAAGTTTTTATAATGTATAGCACATGGAATTTAAAGGCCTTAAAGGCTAAATTAAGAGAACGGGGTGCATCTTTGAAGGGCAGAAAAGCAGACCTAATTGAAAGGTAAACATAACCTCAATTTAATATTAGCCTAGCCTAGACTTCTTAATGATCTAGGTGACATCAAAATGTAATGTACTTCGCGGCTTTAATAAGTGAATATTTATTTTACAGACTTGAGGCATATGACAGGAATCAGAATTTTGATGCTGTTCAAGCGGAAGAAAATGATGATGCAAAAATGGTTTTACCAGAAAATGATGCTTATCGGGACATCAACAGCAGTATGAAGTTACCACCAATTACAAAGGAACATATAACCCTTTATTTCTTACAGTAAGTTCATTCTTTTAAGTACAGTTCTTACTAATTCTGATACAAAAACCTAAATCATTTACCTAACAATGATATATGTACACAAAGCACCGCTAATTAGTTAGCGGCGCTACACATCGACACAACTATCATTTACACAATATACATGTGTGGGTAATTTCATATCAATAGATATGTATAGAAACATTCGTCTATCACACACATCTTGGTATTTAAAAATCATTTTTGTGTCGGTATACGCAATAATTTAGTAAATAAGTTTAAATAAAAACGAGGGTAAAGATAAAATTACTCATAACAAACTTTGAATAAATCGAAATCAAAAATAATGAACGATCGAGCTATACAATACCCATATAAATATAGTGCTTTCTCATTGTAATTTTATGTTACTGAATGATATAAAATATTTCGATGATCTCATCTACAGCGCGCTTGGCGCAATGGTTATCGCCTCCAATTGTCAAGTAAAGTGCCGCCGGATCGATTCCAACATTCACATGTTGTTTTAGAATTAATTTATCAAATATTTGAAATTTGAAATTAGAAACAATTAAATCTTTTCTTTTTTTTTCCTTTCCTATTGTTCTAAATCTTATGTTAATTTTAATAGTAAATACTTTAGATTTATTTATACCTATAATATCTTTTATTTATATTTTAGTTCTAGTTATTTATTATTTAGAATAATCTCATTTGCTTCATGCATTTCAACCAACTTAAATAAGATAAAAACAGTAAAAAAGTAATTAACTGTGATTTCTTAATGGTTCGATACCTGAGTATATTTGCAATGTTTGTGGCGACCATAGAAATCTCGAGTCATTTTATTTTCCGCAGAAGTAACTACCGACTATTTAAAACATGTTTTTCAAATCACCCGACTTACAAAATAATTGCGTTCTTAGTTGTCAATTTATGAGGATTTCATAGTTTATTGCTACACTACTTATATTCGTGTGCAAAGTTATTTTTATTTTACAAGATGTTCCAACACCTATCAACATTTAAAAAGGCTGAAACCATTGTTTTGCATGAGCAAAACATAACTAACAATAACTGAAATAGCAAGGCGTTTAATGATATCGGTGAGTAAATAAGATACTACGTTGATATTCTAAATAATATTTATTTCATTTTGTAACTCGACACACCTATCAATTTTTGCACTAGAATAAAAAAATTATTGCAACTTATTATGAAGTTCAATATTATAAAGATATATTAATAATTTATTATTAATTGTATTGTAACTTGACTTGTTTTTGTTAGGAGTGTTTCTTTAAAACATATCTGGTTAGGGATTTTTATTCCTTACGCCACTACTTAATTATAAATTATTATTCTAACATTGTGTTTACTTATATTTATTATTATTTTTAAGTAACTTTAATTCCTGTAAAGTATTTCCTGGTATTTAAATACTTATTTGTTTGGTATCAACAGAGGAGATCCATGCAGTTATGGGTGCACAGATATGCGGAGACCGGTGACGTTGAACATCGTTGACGTGGGCCTAAACCAAAGGCAAATTCATCGGCTCGGCACTACGACATCGTAGCCAGGCACATGGCTGATCCGTTCCTGCCAACCCGCACTACAGCGACAGCACTGAATGTTTTAATACAAACTGTACGGAGACACCTGCATTCTGGTTTAAGGTGCAGGAAGCCAGAGAAGAAAATATTGTTATCTGTGGTTCACCAGCAAAAGCGCTAAGAATTTGCTAAGGACTTTATTAATTTTGATTGGGCGAACAGTGTAATCATATTGAGCGACGAAAAGACTTTCAAGTCGGATAAGGAGGGGCGTAAAATATTGTGAAGAAAAGATGGAGAAAGGTATACGAATTGCAACCTTCTGCCTTGTAGGATCAGTGATTGTATTGATTTCGTAATCAATTATTGAGCCTGTCAAACTCTGCCTTTATTAAAATTAACATAAAATAATGTTACATTTTTTTAAGAATATTAAAATGCTGTCTAGAACATACGGTGAAGTGATGTTATTGTTTTGTGGTTAGAAATTGTCATAATTTCTTTCTATTCAACATGTTTATTCACTTCACTTTAATTTTTCATTAACAAATTTATTTAACTGCTTTCGAACTTGATTGACATATTATATTTACGCCCATCTTCAATTAATTTAAAGTTTCCCTGATTCTAAAGGTCATGAAAGTTAAAATCGTTCCATAGCATTCGTCACATTCTTTTTACTATCATACAGCCCACTGAATATTGAACCTTATAACAACCGTCGTAAAATAGATAATTAATGGAAGTTCAAACGACAAAAAGTCGCCCATTTCAAGAAATATTATGTTGACAGTGTAATTTTTTACATGTTTTACTTGTTTATTACTTAATGTATTATTAAATTACAAAACAAGAATGTTGTATTTGTTTATTACTTAATAAAAAATGTTGCTGCCATCGTATTACCGCTGTACCGCATGATATTTCCCGATTCGACTATGAGGTTTATTGTCATATCTATTAATTATTATGATTTAAAGAACTTTAAACTTTAATGTGGTATATAATTAATTATTAGATATAAATATTGAATATAAAACAACAT